GATTACTCTTCTATACCATCCCAATTACTGGGGTATCCTCCTAGCCATTAAGTAGGCTTATTGTGTCCACTATATTGTAGTTTGCTCATTACAATTACTCTACACCTGTATATACAGTAGATCCAGTCATTTCTACATTGCAGGTGCTCTCTGCGAGCTTTACCTGCTCATGTTTTTGATTTTGAATGATGTGACTCAAGGTTGTTTTAAGAATCTACTGCACGCTCTCAGAATTGTCCTGCTTTGAATCTGAGATGCTGATGTGGCAGTCTTACTCTGCTGAAGACCAGGCTCCACAGTGGACGAATGAGCCTTCTTGTGTGCAGGACTTTGTCCAGGGAGTTCACTGCTCAAACCCATTACAGCCTCTGCCACTGGTGACATTTTAAAGACCCGTCTTCTATCTACAGCTTTTAATGTGTGATTTGGTGTTACTTGAGGTCGTTAATCTGCTGAGCTGCTTTTCCACAACTTTTCATTTCCTTCTATTATGTATTACGGTTGTGCTACTGTTCACCACTTTGCGTTTGTTGTACAGTATCGTTCTTATTTTGTAGCACAGTATCAGAGTAGTTCATACTGGAGCAGTAAATCAAGTGATAAAGGATCTGTGCGGTTAATGTATGAATCAACTTGATTTTTGCAAATTTAACAGACAGCTCAGTGAAGGTCCTGCTCTTAACACCAAAACGCAACCAAAAACCACGTGGATCAAATTAATTTGTTAGTAGGAATGTAACTACAAAAGATGTATACAGTCTTTTGTGGATGATAGCTATTTTTCTAGTCATTGACGTCACAGATGCCCAAGCTGCTGTCCCAGCTGTCACTCAGCTAATGCAGTAAGAATATACAGTACAACAGTTATATATTAATTCCTCTTATCCTACATATAAGTGAATATACAAATGGGACAGTAACTACAGCACACAAGAAAGCCCACGCATTTAAGAGATGTAGAAAAAATATTTATCCATCAGTTACTTATTGATAACATTGATAAATCCCATTGCCTTCATTCTCTCATTAGCTTTGCTAAATTGGATTTTTAGGTGTCTTTGTCCGATCTTTATACTCTGTTTTAAATTAGAGAGGTAATGAAATCAATTTGAACAGCAATAGCATTATGCACTACAGTCCAATTGAATGAATGAATATAAAGTGCCAGCGTGATATTCATCACGCAAGAGGAACCGAGAATAGAAAATAGATTTTTTTGGAAAAAACTTTATCCACCAGTATCTTTATATACTTTTCTCAAACAGTGAACAAATTGGATTTCCACAAAGAGTTTGACACATGTAGCAAAAAGCTCACTAGAGCCTTTGTTCCTGTTAAAAAGATCAAAATAGAAATAAAGTTTCCCTGGGGAAGGACTGTTTCTGCTCCCAGGAAGTACACAACATCTACACCAAAATAACTGAAAAAAAAACAACATTTTGGAACAAGGCTTAAAAAACTGAGCTAAATTTCCTACCACCTAAACTTCTCAAAACTTAACGCATGTCATAATTTGGAAATATGCAAATAATGAATAAGCTGGTGGCTTTAAAGAACCTGACCCTAAACATCTTCCTAAAACAGTAGAAATATCTTAAATGGATCAAGCTGTATAAGGATTATTTCAACAGGCCATGTTGGTGCTGGTGTCTCAAAGCTAGGATTTCCTAATCATGCTTTCACAAAGGATAGTTAAGATTTATTTGTATTTAAATTTTTCCATTTAAATTTGAGTTCACACCACCGTATAGCAAGAACATTTAAAAAAATAATAGCATGTAGCTTAAATAATAATGTCTTATGGTTAAAGGCTGTGTGTTTCTGTTTGCATTTTTTTTCAAAGAAGACACACATTTATATTTAATTCTACAACTCTGCTACATATATATGAAAAATTAATCACAATATTAAAATACATGTCACCGATGTTGTGTACCAGTATCATAAATATGAAAGTAAGTAATGATCTAGCCAGAATCATTTAATCCTATCTTCATTTTGAAGGAGCATATTGATTTGTAACTAGACCATTATTGACACTTCTCATTTTAGTCCCTTCATTGTCATGTAAATCAGATAAAGGTAAAAATGATAAAGAAAATTGCAAGACTCCTATGTAAGGCCCATTTCTCTTAGTGCTTCCAATGTGAAAAATACCATTCGTTCGTAATTAAAAGAGTTGGGGGTTTCAATTAAGACAACCTGCGTACACAGCATTTTTTAAGAAAAGGTAGTTTAGGGACATTGGTATGGTGTTGATTTTATTGGGGCTTAAATTCCTGTGAGAAAACTCAGCATCTTGAAGCCCTTTGTCTTTACAGTGGGGACTTAGTGAGCAGGAACGCACCACACCCTTGTGTAGAGGCTGGGCTTTCCATTAAAAAGGCTTGGGGAGCTTTTTCTGCAATGACATCTTCTCGCCTGGCTGAGGCCTCCAATGGGGACCTCATTGTGGGAGACAGCAGTATTAAGTCACACCGAGTGCTAGAAGCATGCCAGATTTGATGCTGCTACTGGGAATTCACATTGGTTACAAATCATCCTACTGCCATTAAATGGCGAGAGACAACATGCATGGATCAGCTTTCATTTGCTTTTCTGCATAGACCCTCTCCCTCTGCTTTCTGCTGTATTAATCATGTGCTACAGTATCCGATGAAGAAGAGGTCCAGAGATTCTGATAGCATTTTGGGTGTTACCGTAGATCTTGATGTAATTCTAATTAATCATTGTTTAGGATTAGGTTCGCAAGGTTAGGAGTCCCTGATCAATAGCAGAACATAACAATTATTCAGTTTCTCTTTTTTTTTGCATTTTGTTTTAGGACATTGTACAAATGAAGCTTATATTTTTTTCATATGAAAATTAACAGATCCTTAAAAAAATGTTTCATGCTTTACATTAATGTATGGATTGGATACTGTTTTGGTACGGCCACTTGCAGCTTTTATTCAGACATTGAATTGTTCAATTTGATTGAAACAATGTGTTTTATGAGAGTATGTGAATCGAACGCGTTGCCAGAGAATCAATGCAGTCTGCAGCTGAAGCCCTCCATGTGCTGTGTGCTGTATAGTGTGCCTACTCACACTGCACCACACCCTTTCTTCCAGATGCCTTCTGCAGGAAAAAAGAGCAGGGGGCTTGATCACATTGTCCTGGAAAGATTTTATGCTGATTTGTGTTAGGACTCTAACAACATGATCAAACAGTTCTAATTTACAAAACAGCATTTTTCCTTCTTATTTCTTTTCTATAAATGCATGTATGAGTACATACTTTTTTAAAATGAAGATGTATAATAATCTTGGAATAAACCGCTGTTAAAACTTGATCTTCTTTTTTCTGATTACTTACTTACTACTTTCTCATTATTAGTTTCTTATTTTAGTAATACACAGACAAGCTGATCCCAGGCTCAGCACCTCTGCCAGGAACAAAGGTGCCACACCCACCCTTCAGATATCTGTAGTCTCACCTCAGCCCTCTCTATCTCCCACAACTGCAACCTGATGGATTTTTTTCCTTCATCAATGAATACTGGGCTAAGTGAATTTACAGCTGCATTTCCAAATTAAATGACCTGTTAAGATGCTGTTGAAGCTGCATTGCAATTTTGGCTGTTATGCAAAAGCAAAAAAAATTTCAGTGAATTCTTGGATATTCAAGAACAGAACAGGAATTCACATATACAATGCATAACTTTCTTCTTAAAAAAGAATGTGACATCTTTTTTTAAATAGTGTCTAATGTTAAATGCAGTATGGGTACACTGAAAGAAAGATGCCTCACCCATTCTCTTGCAAAGTGCACTGCATGACTCATACCAGCTGACATTTAAAAGACAATCAGGTGTGCTATAAACCCTCCAATATTAGCCTTGACATTTGGCTCTTAAGTGAAATGGCCAATCGAGCATTGCAATTTTAAAGCAAACCCAGGCATCTGTGATGAAAAATGCACCATGTAGCAGTTAAAGTAAGAAATGGTCATGCACAAAATCACACTCTTTGGTCCAAGAATTAGCAAGCATCCAAAAAGTAATTTGCAGATACAGCAATGTACATAAATTAAAATGGTAAACCATTACAAATTAAATCACATATAAAGACATTTTTCAGTTCTCAAAGATCTGCCCTATGCTTCCACAATGCATATCGTTTTATAGGAAGCAATAACCCTAATATATGAGATGCTAATAAAGAGCAACACCCAAAACCAGATGCAGGTATAATGAAGTTATTCAAGATCCTAACCTAAAGCAATAATCCTGCAAGACATTGATTCATTTGTCCACGCCTGCTTCCCCAGACCACCACCAAGTCCTGTGCACGTACATTTTAATTCAGATATAATTTATTTTTTCCCATGTATGTTTTACATGTGATACTGCACATTACAGTATATTACTATTGTAATGTCAATTTGCAATCGAAAGGTTTACTGGTGTTTTCAACTTTTACATCTCAAACCTGAGCTGTGATATAGCTCAGTAAGAGGGGAGAATCGGAAAACATTAGCATGGTTTTCTAAAACTGATTTGTTACTATTACTTTACTGGTTACTGAACATTAGGAATGCTAATAATAACGGGAGGTGTGGGTGATAATCGTATAATTCAAACAACCTATCAGGCACATTAAAATAAATAGGACTAATATTCATTTTGTAGATATACTGTAAAAACCCATACTGTAGAAGCTAGGTTCACAAATCATTTTAAACATGCTGCCTACTGCTAATACCGGCACAGCAAACAGTATGTCTGCCTCAACCACAAGTACCAGAAGTTAATATTCCAATATGACTATTTATTCCCTGAATTATTTTTGAAACAGTGCACTGTCAATGTAGCCTGCAATCTAATGTACAACCATTAACAAGCATGCTTCTAAAAGATATACATGCATTATTTAACAAGAATGTCAAATATTTTAAGAAAATAAAATGAATACATGTAAAATGGCAGAAGTCACATTTTAAAGATCTGGATCAGTTACCTGTTTTGTTCTCCTAATGCAGCACAACATGATTGTAGTATCCTCCTTTCCTTTCTTTTCCTTCTCTCCCTGTTTCTCTCACTCTTTCCTCCCTCTCTCTCGCTCTCTCTCGCTCGCACTCACACACACACACCCTGGCTGTATCAGCAGCTGAGTCGCCTAATGCTTTTACTCATCACAATTTGCGCACACACTCTCACACAGTCTGGCTCCCAGCGCCTCACTGTGACTTGCTGGCTTACAATGGCTACAAGCCCACCCCCTCACCCCCTCCTGACTGAGCTGAAACCCACCCAACCTTCTCCTCAATCCCCTCCTCCATTGCACATTTACCTACTCCCAGAGCTGCTACCCCTCCCAGTCTTGCTGTCTTTATGAATTATTGAATGCCTCCAATCTGGATTCAGACAATTCACATTTTGCAAGCTTTTTAAGGGGTGGTGGCTGTGAACAAATCCCGTTCAGGAAAAGGGGTATCCCCATCTAAATCATTTGATAATTTTGGAAACACAGTTGGAGCTATTTAAAATGTCTATGACAATATACTGTACATTATATTTTTAAAGAAGCAACAATACAGCCCTCTGTTGCAATTACCTATTTTTACTGCTTTATGCTGTAGAGTTTTTGCAAAACACTTCAACAGGAATCAATTATATATCTAGACATATATGTAAAAAGCAAGCAATTCACACACCATATGTATCGACAATGCACAGGCACATATGCATTCACTCACAGAAGGGAGCATGCCCATTAGAAAGTAGCAAAGGCTTTAGTCTTTAGTATGAGAAAGATTTTCTTTCCTGATGTGCTGCAACTGAACCGCCTTCCCATCCAACCCCTCCCTCTGGCCGGTCCACACACACATTCACCTGCTCGAGACGCCACACGCCTTTAGATTTCCTCCCTGGGTTTTCACCTCTGTGCAGAGCTTACTGACTAAACCCCCCCCCCCCCGAAAAAAGAAGTGCAGTTCCTCTGCTGAGATTTTCAACATGAACATTTAGTCATTTCTGTCTCCATTAGCATGGACACACAGTCCACAGACCTGTGCTCGGTTCAGCTGTTGCATTTCCATTCCTCCTCCAGTCCATAATGGAGGGTGTGGTGGCTTTCCTTTGTTCCTCAGTCCCGTCACCCCCTCACAAGATCCTGCCTTCCAGTCAGCGCCATGGATCACAGCCACCAGAAGTACTCAGGCAGCCCAGTTCAAGGAGTTTTCCCATTTAAAAGAGACTGCTCATGGAAACTAGAGTAATGACAGTTCAGTGAGAAAAACAGAAAAAATAGCTTTCAAATATATTGGCTATGTTGAGAAATCTATACAATACATCATCGATTATATCAAAGGAAATGAAAATGTGTAATTCTATTGTATTGATTAAGAGGTTGTCAGAAGCCCACAGTGTTTTCATCTTTTAGCTTTGACCACAATCACCAAGTTATTCATAATTCTTAGGTCAACGGTGTTTCAGACCCTCTGAAGGCTCAATATTTGTTGGACAAAGTGAGGGTAACATAGCACTGCTGATGTATATGCCATACAATTTCATCAGCTGGAGACCCATTGCTAAAATATAAGACTGGAATCCTTATTGGATTTAATCCTTAATTGATTTCAAAATACAGCATAATAATTCCAAATGTGAATTTATACTTTCACAGATACTCTACTTTTGGGAAAGGTTCCACATTGAAGTCATGCACATGGAATAATTTAGCATTTCACAATGTGTTAAAACATACTAAATCTCATGGGTCTAAATGCGAGCAATTCATTCTTAAATGTGCTGACTCAGTGATTTCTCAAAGGTGATGGACTGACCACAGAATAAAATGTATTTTATTTATTCCCTCAACCCATGTACAGTTTCCTCAGTTTGTTGCTTTAAAGTTTTTAGATGTGACATCTTGAAGCAGGAATTTGTAAGGGAATTCAAGCAAAATTCTACCATAAAGACCAAGGAGCACTCAAAACATCTCTGGGATTAAGTTGTAAAAAGGCACAGGCCAAGAGAAGGGTATTGACCATTTCAAAGACACTGAATATCCCTTATGAATTGGACACGGTGAAGTTGGTCACTGAGGAGTGGAAGGTGCTGCTTGATAAGGACGTCCCTCCAAAACGAGCAGCTGGGTCACTGGGGAATTGGTTAGATGTGAGGCTGACAAAACACCTGAAAGCGCCATGGAGTTTCAATGTGTGAGACTGGAGAAAATGCCTTTGGGTAATGGGTGGCCTCTGTGGCAGAGTGGCAAGAAGGAAAAACAAAACAGCTCAAACCTCAAATGGAGTTTCCAGCAAGACATGTAAAAGGTTTTGTGTTGCAGTCAGATGAGACAAGATTGGAACATTTTGGTCAAAATGCACAATGTTACATTTAGTGCACACAACATTCCACAGCACCCAGCTAACACTGGTCCTGTTGTCAAGCAATGCAGTGGTCTCATCAGCAAGGACTGGGACACATGTCAAGACTGAGGGGAAAACGGATGGAGCAAAGTATTGGCAAGTCTTCGAGGAAAACCTACCTGCAGCAAGAGAATGACATGCAAAGCACCAGGCGGAAGCCACGCTGGAGTGGATTAAGGATAAGAAGGTAAATGTCCTTGAGTGGTCCAGTCAGTTTCCTGACTTGAATCTGTTATGTCCTTCCCATTGGCTGCGCTGTGGGTGGAGTTAGCAGTGCTCCATCAGCCAGTTACATCACCGCCTCCTGGCTTCTCCACACCAGTTGCCCAGGAAACGGAGCACCTGGAAGGGGTTTTCGGGCATGCCCCAGCTGGGTGGGGGGCTCAACAAAGTCCTGGATCTGAAAGCACTCTGGGCTCTGTCATTCTGCCTTGTCGCTGAGCCCCTCAAGCCTGGTTCCTGTGTCTCCCTGCCTGATCTGTCCATCTGCCTGTCTGTCCTGATCTGAACTGGAACTCCGTCTGGTTGCCCTCACGCATTCCTGTCAGCCTGGTGTTCCCTCTCAGATTCCAGTCAGCACGACAGGGAGAGACTGATAAGCAAATCTGCCAGGAATGGGCATAAATTGCACAAAACTGTGTGCAAAGCTGGAAGAGACCTACCTGGAAAGACCTACACCTGTAATTGCTGCCAAAGGTGCTTCCACCAAATATTGAGGTCACAGGTCTGCATACAGTACTTACGGTACGACAGCATATTTCATTTTTTTACCTTTAGTTTTGCTGTCATTCACTGTTATGTATCTCCCCCTTTGAAATATTCAGTTCAGGCATTCTGATCTTGAATAAATTGTTAAGTTAAACAAAGTGTGCACTGTGTGTGGGATAAGTGCAGGTCCCCCTGCCCTTGCCAGGATTCAGTTCTTGTCATTTGCGGGTTCTGAGCGCGTGCTGTACTGCACCACGCCCCAGGCAATGGATAACTCCACCACACAAAAACACCAGGTCTTGTGCCACCGCAGAGTTCTACACTCCTTGCATTGTCAGTGCACTGAACCTGTGATGTTACATGTTGATGACAAATGATGTCTCATATTCACCATTTTGTAAATGAAAAACAAAACAGGACACAACTGAAAGGGGAGCCACTTCCAACAGAGATAAGAGTGACCATTTGACAAAGACCTAAGGCTTCCACGTTTTTAATGTGACAAAAGAAAAGTCATGCATACAGTGCGTAGTAGGTTAACCAGTGCCTTCGAAATGAGGTCTCGGATTATGACTTTTAATTCTTTGCCTAATTAATAGCTGGTATTGGAGACTGCTCAGTTTCATAGCTTCTAAGCAAAAAAACTCACAAAAGTAGAGCTCATTTCTATTTTTTCCACCCCCCCCCCCCCCCCCCGAGCTGAATCGGCAACACCTTAGTCTCACTTCAAGTGTAACAGGTATTGACCTGTTTATTTAATCACATCACCACACCTGCTCTTTGCATCACAACTGCTGTGAATAGGGTTTAAGACAGTGTGAGTCCCTCAGTTGAAGCAGTAAAGTTTTCCCAACTGGTCTGACTAACACATCCTTATTATGGCACATCCTTATTATTTGAATTCCCACTGGAGGAATTTCAAATCCCTCCCGAAAATAGTTTCTTACAGGCACCCTGTAAAAACTAAGCTTAACATTTCCCTCTTAATGCTGAGTTCAGACTCAATCACTGCCTGTTCTTCAGGGAGAGAGTACGGTTATCAAGGTTACCTACTGAGGGATTTTACAGTTGGGAAGGAGATGATATTGTTCCCCGTTTCTCACACTCAGCTGTTACAAACCTAGGAGAACTAATCTTGCCATATGGAGACAGGGCGTCTCTCAAGTCAAGCTCCTCTTTTTTCTATTTGTTCATTTCTCACATCATTTTGAAAGCATTTTTTGCCCTGTATTTTTAAATACACAACAACTAAAGGGAATATGAGCACTTACAATGATGTTTTCAGTGTCCTGATCTCAGTGGCTGGGGTTTTGGATAACATTATAACTAATTTATGTTTAATTTTCTTTTACACTTTATAAATAACTTTGGTGTCTCAGTCAGGAAATTGTTTTCACTAGGGACATTCAAATACATATTTTACAGCATCATAAACCTGGGGATGTTTTTTTTCTGCAAAACCCTAAATACTTAATATCATAATAGATATTCCCTAGTGAAGAAGGGCAGAGCATTTTGGAATGTTATTTTTTGGAATGAAAGTGAATGAAAACACTTTCTCCTGCCATTCTATAATATTCTGAAACTCACTTCTGGTGCTTAGTACAGAAATTACCTTAATAATAAAAGATGATAAATGAGTTGATGTGATGTAAATCTCTAGAGCTATAGTGAAGATAGTTCTTCTATGGGTTTCTGTGATTCAGCATTACTATTGTGTTTTGTTTTGTTTTTTTCTTTTTTGTTTTGTATTTACGGGTAGTCGATTTCAGTCATTTTAACTTGCATGCTGTTGATTAATCATAAAAAACTGCATTGAAGTCCACAGAGATTATTTTTTAAACATGAAATTCTCCAAAAAAACTAAACAATCTTTGGAACATATTCAGCTTTGTATTGTCACCGATCCACCTAAAGTAAACAGAATCTGGGTGAGTGCCCTTTGCTTAATGACCTCAAGGGGATCCTAGGGATTTTTAATGAAGAACAGCAAATACTCAAACAGCACCAAACGTATGTAGTTATAATAAATATTTACACACTCATTCACATCATATCTGGAACATTAACAAGTGCCTTGCTTATGTTATACTGTTAATGTTCCTCTTCCCCCCTTTAACTCTGCATATAATTTTGAAATTGAT